AGAAGACTTAAAATTTGACAAGAAGTGAGACATGTCAATTTTTATTCAATAAGCAAAAACCAAGCGGTGATCCTATGTGATTGAAATAGGCAATCCACAACTTGTATAAGATGACAGGGAGAGGTTGCATTCACGCGGGACATATGTAAAACCTTTCATCATAAGAAATGGCTAGTCATTTCTATAATGAAGAGATGAATGCTAAAACTTGAATAGATATGAAAGTTTCTACGAGCAGTAGTTATAGAACAAGCTTAGCCATCCTCCAAGCATAGGCTTCAAATGGTAAACCTATATTCATAGACCAAAATTGCATGACTGCAGCATTGTTGATCTCATCCATGCTTATGCTTGGATTATAGCCTAGCCCAGTAGCCCCAAAACATGCCAAGACTTGTCTAGTGGCTTTGTTGTCGAGTAATATGTGATCAGACCTGGAGGCAATGTCCCTAATTTCCACAATGTTCGGCTCTCATTCTGCAAGAAATCAGATGCACTGATTAAACCTTACAAGAACTAGTGGAGGAAAAAATGAAGACACTATAATGCAGAGGAGAGCCAATACAAGGCAAAGATACCTGGATTTGTGTCTGGAAAACCTTTAGAAGAAATTAGACTTCGATAGTTCTAATTCAAACTTGAAAATCGTAATACTTTTGTATGTGACATCGTCGATATTCTGTGTGGTGCTATGTAAATGGTTATGAAATATTTTGGTGATACGTACTCATTAATTATAGACAAATACTACTTCATATCTAATGACAATCCATGAGTACAACAAATTTAAGATTTCGACTTTCAATGAACAAACTACAACTTGTAAGGGGTAACACCTACTATGTTAAGACATCACACCATTGTCACTCAACCATTTACTTAAGTGATGTCTTGGTTGGGGAATACTTATTCACCAACGTTAATTTCCTCAAAAAATTGCTTATAAATAGTAATGAATTGTTAGTTCCAATTCAAAGTTCATTTTTCTAGTTTATAGTCGAAAAACTCCATTTCTTAAAATTCATTTTCAGCCACAAATTTCACTGGACCGACAATTTTTATTAACTTTTAAATCATAGATCTCATCAACTTCCGTCAAAATCTACCAAAAATCAAATTTTAGCTAAACCAAACGGGGGCTAAGATGAAAAGGTGTTGTATCAATATTGTAAATGTTGATTACCAAACCAAAGAGCAATGTACAAATATTGTAGTTTTATTTTCCAAATTGTTTAGTAATAGTAGTAGAAGTAGATAAAAAAAGGTACAGATTTGTACCAAATTTAACAAGAAGCCTGGCTAGTATCTATCTCCATTATTATGCACCTTCTTGCTCACATAGTGCAACCATCCAATTCCTTTAATGGCCTTCGAAATCCAACCTAGATTAGGTCCTGCCAAACTCATGTCCATTTTCCCATACTGCCGATCGATCTCTTCCCGTGATCCCTTGTAGGATTCAACTTCACTTTTCTTTTTCTTCTTCTTCTTCGTCGTTTTGCATATCGGCTTGACCTCCATTTCATATGTCTCCCACAGTGAATCCATCCCGTCACCACCATCAACACTGTGTCTTTCTTCAAATAACTTACAAGCCAATGTTCTTTTCCACTCTTTTGCCTTCTTCACAGAGCCATTGAAACTTGATACTTTTGAAGTGCACTCATTATAATCTGCAATGCCACGCTCTTTTTCATTTTTATTTGGTGCTGCCTCTGATCCAGTTGTCACCACATCATGTTTTTCTAATCTCTCTTCTTCCATTTCTATTGAAATAGCTGTATGAACTGAAATTTCTTGTAATTTACCTGTGGAAATAGCTTAACATTTGCTGCTACTAGAATCCTCAAGGGTTGAGCAGTTGACACCAGGTTCTTCTGATACTTGCGAAGATTGGATTGCTTTTACGTCGATCATGGACGTGTCAAACGCAACTTGAAGATCCTCCAAACAGGCAATCTCTTCATTTTCATCATCTAAATTAAACCGTAATCTTTCGACAATTTTACTACGCGGAATCAGTAGATAACTAGCCTTGCATTGAGATGACTTGTTCGAATGAATACGAGCTATAAAAGGTATGGCAAGTATGAGAAGTGGAGAGGGTGATAAAGGGCAAATAAAACAAAGGCAGATATAAAAAATGAGTGTTGGAAGTGTTTGACAAGCACAACTCAGTCATTTTCAATTCTCGTTTGGTCATCTAATCAAGAAAATATAGAAGAAAAAGCTGTTAGGAGGAAGAGAAATGTGTGATTGTGGAAATGAATGCGGCGTGAATAAAGGGAAAACAATTATGCGTGTAATTGACAGGGCCAGGCTAACTAACGATGACAAGAAAGAAAGAGCATTTTCCTTGTACATAAATAGTATTTATGGAAAAGATTGAACATTGGTGCGGGAAATAAAATACGAGAAGCCCTATGAGCCTTGCTTGTGGCCATTCAAACAAGGGTCTCATGACTCTATAAAGCTGCAAAATTTTCATTTAAAAGGAAATTGTTAAACGAACGTTCGAATAAATTTGAACACGAGTAATCGTTGAAGAATTTCAGGATCTGTTCTCTTTATCATTTTCAAGTCATTTTCTGTTTTCGATTTTCCAAAATAGTGAAAACGTGTTCTCTTTCCTGTTTTCGAAAACGCGTTTTTGAAAACAAGTTAAAAATTTACAAAGAAAATCCAAAATGACAAATTTTTCGTTTAAAGTGTTTTTAGTTATAATCAAGTCAAAATTTTCAATACGCGTTTTGGGTGTTTTCAAAACACTTCTTCAAAATGGCAAAAAGAACATATTTTCAATAATTTCAAAATGAACACTCAAAACACAAAATTCAAAATAAATTCAAAACTCAAAATACAAAACTAAAATACAAAGAGAACCGCCCCTTAGCTTTCGCTTCTGGAAAAATTGAAACTAAGGGCATTTGGTGCATGTATTAACAATATTTCTTATTATTGTCTTTAATATAAATTGCCAACTAGTATTGACCAATATGTACATAAATAGCGAGTCATGAAGAAGATAAATTTTAGATTTTTCTTGCTGCAAATGGGCCATGTGATTTTCAATAAATAATGTATTTTGTAAGCATTATTTGCTCACATACCAATTATTTAGCATTAAACAAATTGCGGGTTTTGTCTTATTTCTGCCACTTGAATTCATGTTTTTTTTTATAATTAATTTACACATTACATGTTTTTCTGTTATTTTAATTAGTTCATACATCACCATCCCTTGTTCCCATGTGTAATGAAAGGTGGTTACATTGGCAATATAGACAAATTTGACTAATTACTTGCACATTAATCATTAGAAGTAAAAAAAAATTTAAAATAATAAAATATTTAATTGATTAACTTGGTAGAGCCTCTACAATCTCGAATTTTGTGTTCGAGCATTCAACAAAGTTCAAATAAATCGAGTCAAATCAATACACGCTCAAGAAAAAAAATTAAAAAAACTTTTTTAAGAGAACTCCACTTGGTTGAACCTCGTTCATGTAGATAATCATACTGAATCCAAAAAATTCAAGACACTAATGAATCAACTCCATCACCATAGTATTAGTAACAAGAGAATTGCAATAATTCTAACATGATTGTAGTACACTAGTGCCAACTTGAACACCATTCATCACTCTCTTCTCACTTCAAATTGAAAAGCATCTACCATGCAAATGTATAAATGAGAAAAAAATGGATTTAGGACATATTCAATAGAATTCCAAGAGACTCTTAACTTTTTAAAATAAAGAGTAAGTTTGACTCTCCAAATTTAAAAAGTCAAATTCACTCTATAGTACAATGATTGCATTTGCAGATTTCAATATTTTACTTCTTAAATTATTCAAACCACATTTAAAGAGATGTTTTTATCACTTGGGTCAAACATTTTCTGGAGCTCAATTGCAAACTAAAGAACGGGAGGTGATGTCCTGTCTCCAGTTTCCTTTCACTGATTTTTTTTTAATATAAAAACACTCTATAGATAAGTTTTGCTGGCATTTCACATATATAGCAGGTTGGTCAACATAACAAATTGCTTGTGACATCATGCTGACATCTACTTCATCTTTTCTTATATCATGTGTCCAGAGAACAATAATTGCNCTTGTGACATCATGCTGACATCTACGGCATCTTTTCTTATATCATGTGTCCAGAGAACAATAATTGCACAATTGATAGGAAAGTAAAATAATGCTATATGTAAACCATTGACAACTTGGTTGACATGCAATCCTATGCGGATGATGATAGATGAATTTAAGATCAAAAGTGTACATGTTGCCATGTGGAAGAGTGTAAAGGAAAGGGTGAGAGAGTGAGAAGAGTATGGTGATAATTGAATATTCTATTTCATTATTTGCAATTACAATCGCGCTACACGTACCCGTTGGAATACACGGTGGTTTACACGCTGATGTGTCACCCGGCCCAATATAATGACCCGGCCCAAATTAAAAACTCCCCNTTGCAATTATGGTAACTGAACCATTCTGTTACTATTGACATACAAATAAACTTTGTTTCCTGAAGATCGCCTAAAAATACTAACAAGTGTTACTAACTGGTTGGCGGACATTAAGAGAAAAAAGGGTCTTCAGATGGACCAAATTTACCTCACCAGAAACTGTGTCAACCGGAGCAACACTAGAACGATGGTTTACTAGGCAGGCCTGATCCATGAAGAGCTCGTACACTTTGATAAATCTATTTAGTTCTATACATTTCCCTTGTGCTTCAAGACAAGATTGAACAAAGGGTAACAACAAATTAATCAGAGTCATTATAATGGCAGCTGTAGTAGGGGGATTGGGTTGCGAAATGAAACTAATACGTGAACAAGACGGTACCAATACTTGATACACTAGACTAGGAACTGTAATCCATACTGCCCTAAACACCATAGCTCACAGGAAACACATCACAACCACCATAACGGCTACCCAATTATAAGAATAAAACAAAAGTGCATTGCAAGAAAGTTTCTGCAAGCAAACCGAAGTTAGAACTGATCACGTCCCAGGCTTATGGTGGAAACCACATGGAATGATGACTAAAGAAATAAGCCACATGCTAATAAAAATGATGATAAGTCAGTCAGTCAAATATCTAGGGGAGACTAATTAAAATTGAGAAGGATCCAACTGTATATAAGTTCCAATGCATCCTGTGCAAATTCCATCAAAAGCAATTGACAGAAACTGACCAGGAGAGGCTAGCATTTATAAGGAACATCTAGCATCTACTTCTCTATTGAAATTTGATAGAGCTGGAATATGAAACTTCCATCAGGTGAAGAACAAAGGGCCTTCTTTCGGTAAAGTCACATTTTTTTCGTATTTTTCCTTTCATCGGCGAGTTTGACTAATGCAGGTTGAAAGTGGAATGAA